AAAGTAATATTTTCTTATTTAGCGTGCAATAGTTATATTTTAACCTTATAGCAATCATGGTTATTATTAATGTCCGATAAATAAATTTTACATAATTATAGTTGTATTGTCTACGCGTACATATAAATAAATATTGTGGTTATTTTTTTTTTAAGATTTGTTATAACTTTATTTATTATTTATTATGACCATTATTTATTTATTTATTTGAATCAGAATCTATTATATGATAGTATAACATGTCTTTTGTATAGAATTGTATATATAGAATTCTAATAAAATATTATCCTGAATTTATTTTTAGTATAAGAAAATATAATTATTATTGTCAATCGTGATAAAATAATAAAATATGATAGACAAATCAATCGGGTCTTTATGACCAGACGCATAAATTATAATGAATTGAAATTTGTGTTTTGGGACATATTGAGAAGAATAAATCATTTAGAAATTCTTGATTTAATAAACATTTTTTATAGATACGAACGAAATATTACGACTTATTGTTGTTGCTTATCTCTTAAATAATGAAATTATTAGGAGTTACAAATAATCTAGTAATATTTTATGTTATTATTTTTTTTTTATCCTATTATTTAAGCCGATTTTTTTTATTATGTTACTTTTTAGGAACTAACACAGTTAATTTTACAGGATGCTTCATTGCTCAGAATGAACAAGTACAATTAGAAAATGAAAGTAAATAAATCATCGACAAGGTAACTAGAAAAAAGAATATCGACAAGAAAAAGAATCCTTTTAAAAAATAAAGGCGGTTGCAACTAAATTCATACCAATCAATTATGTTATAGTTAAAGAATATTTAAAATTTATTGTATTTATTAATTAATAATTAAGTGATAGATAATTTGCATATTATGCGTTGAATGAATGTGAAATATTATGGCGCTACTCAGCATGTCTTATTAACCTACCCTTTGGTATATTATTTCACATTATTTTCTAATAATAATTAACTATCCAAAGAAAACTTATTAAAAAATCTTGTTCGTAAGATATATATCAAGATTGATTAATATAATCAGCCTAATGAATGACAATAGTTGTAATACTTATTGATTATGGAAAGTTTTATACGTATTTTTCAATTATTAAACAACTACGTAAAATATATTTAGTTTTCGAATTTTTTGCATATTATACATAAAAATATAATAAAAATACATTTTACATTAACAAAGTATATATTTTGCAATCATCATATAATAAACAAGGTATATATATAAGTCGTGTGTGTGTGCGTGTGTGTTTGTTTGTGCGCGCGCGCGCACGTGTGTGAAACAAATATTTATATATATAAATACTTATTTTTCATGTAAAATCTGGCATTTGTATAACTGTCAATAAGTCTTCAATGAATTTATTGTACATTTATTAAAAATTAGTACATTGTCTCATATTCAATAGTATATAATTACTCAATACCACATAGATTATTGTTTATTATCAGACGTAAGTATAGACTTCCTGTCGTATCGTAAGCATTTTTTTATGTACATTGTGAAAAATTTACGAAATTCTTCACTTTGTGGCGCCTAGTTTCAAGTTATTATTTATTTTTAAATTTTATAGTATAATTTATATATATATATATATATATTTATATTTAATAATATACTTATTTTTTTCAATAAAAATGCTCCATATTTTTTACAGTATATATGAATTTTTTACAATTTTATATTCATTTTTATACGATTTTTGAAATATTTTACAATGTTCTTTTATAATATATATTATGATAAAGTTTAATTTGCAGTAAAAATGGAAAATTTCATTATCTCATTATTATAAAATTCTTTTCTTTTCTACCCCCCCCCGGTTAAATTAGGAATATAATTAAGGTTTTTCAATATTGTAAAAATGGTATTGTAAAAAAATATTATTTTAAAAAAATTATTAAGATACTATTTCTATTTCTATTTATCCATGAAAAAATTAATCTAAATTCCATTTCTTTTTTTTAGATATAAAGCCTTTTTACTATACCTAATATTTTTGCCCAGTTATCGAAATATTAATTATCGTATATAAATTATTTTAACACGAATACAAATTTTATATAACGTATTCAGAATAAAACATTTACAATCGTAAAAGCAATATAAATGCAATTAATGCATAATAGTCAATGCGCAATAGTTAATTTGAAAAACATTTACGAACACATCATCAAGTGATTAAAATGATTATACTTTCATTGCAATAAAAATATTTGCAAAAACATTAATTGTAGCATCTCTGAGCGATTAGAATATAGTATATATATATATATATGTATATATATATATATATATATATATATATATATATATATATATCAAAATGAAATGCAGTATTTCGAAATTTGCGTAACTAGTTATTGTGAGATAAATATCAGATATAGGAATTTTGTAAATTTAAACTTTCGTTTGATAATTGATATCATTACGCATATATATCTGTGAGACAGGTAATACAAATGGTGATACAATTATTGTATCGAAAACTTTTCAGAATTCCAATAAGCTTCTAACGTTATTTTTTGCATTATGCCATCATTAATTTGATGCACTCAATGCATTTGTGTTTATAAATAAAAAAACTTTTAAACATTAAGAAGAACTCGTTGCAAAGAAAATTTTTTTATTTTAAATAGAGCAAGCACATTAATATTATAATATCCTCTTATCAAAGAGAGATTATGAATTGTTGCATTTGAGCAAATATTAATCTATATCAACATTTATCCTATATAGGATAAATAAATAGTAGGAAATGTTTCTGCTTAAATTATTATGCATGTGGAGGTCATGAGAAAGGGTTTGCTATTAAAGTTTTAAAACAATTCAATGTAGTGTACGTAATTAGGAATATTCAATATTAATTTCAGCATTATAAATTATCGTATTCGTACGAAGCTGAAACTTTATACGTTGAGATAGAGGATTGAAATTAGATCAAATTATGAAGGATGTCGATTTGCTTGCTCATATCCCTATTACTTTATAGGCATCTGATCTATACAATGTTCTTCGGTTAAATATCATTTTATTACAATTAATTTATATTATACTTTACCATAGACTTGTTGATGTCACTCTTAGAAATTGAATTTTCGCGTAATAATTTTGTCCAACTTTACTAAAACTCTACGAAGTAAAATGCCTGTTACGGACAAAAAATTGAAAGTTAAAAGTGGGAGAGGTATTAAAGCGCAATTCAGTTATTTAAACAAAATATTAGCAACGAACGTTCCAGGCTATGCCATGATGACGTCACGACCAATATCATCATGGTAACAAACATCATCTTTGGAGAATTAGTGCGATAATATTTAAGGGCTGCAGTTCAGTTCGCCTTAGTCTATTATCCATTACACAATCATTATAAAACGCACTATATATTTTCGATCACATCTACAGAAACCACAGTTTATATATATATATAATTAATAATAATAAATTAAGTAATAATCTACGAAAGAAATAGTGACATTTATTCTAAAATTATTAATAACGTATTAGTGACTATAAAACAATAGTGAAACATAAAATATATACATAAGCAACTCATACATAAGACAAGACCGATGTAATAAAGGTTCGGCATTAACCATACCACTATTGAAACATATCACAGATAAGACCGACGTATCATAGGCGCGGCACCAAAGTACAACACAAACATCAACAATTAAATGTATGCTAAGATAGCATTTATTAATAAATACAACAAAGGAAGAAATACATTCATAATACGTAACAATAAAGGAAACTTTACATTAAATCTATTATATTATTTATACATCATAATCAATTAATTATTATTATTATATTTAATAAAGAAATAACGATAAACATTAAAGGTAGTCTTGAATAATTGCACTGTCCCTTCCACTTGCCAGCAACACCTTCACCCACCATCTAAGGAGGTTTTTAGTCTGATCCCAAACAATGCCTTGCATATCATAATTGATTTCTATTGTAATTGGGTGTAATTCGAGTGAATAATTATTACATTTACTAAACGAATTTTTTCTTTGAACGAAATATATCCTGTGCCAATGAACTTTCAACACACCACAAAACTCATCAGTTTTCGAAAGTTCGAGTTTGACAAACAAACTATGACAAATAGTACATTCGAATCATTATTTTATTACCATTCAGTCACAACTACCACCATAAGACACACGAGGCGTACGTGCCTGCGTACTTGTTTGTGCTGCTCTTACGACGTAACTAATAGATTGCGATTGCTTACATCATAGGATCAAGATAAAACTTCAGTTCGACCAGGATTTCTTTCGTAGCGTCGTTCGAATGGAGAAAATTATTATGGAGACTTTAGAGCGTCGCCCTTATGTCCCATCACTGCCAAAGCCCTCGTAGCTTTGGTGTCGAGTGCGGATAATAGGATGCGGAGGAGGCGGAGGAGGCAGTCAGGCGTGGCTTTTTAGCAGGAAGCTCCATCGGCTTTGTAAGAGAGCGTGGAGCGTAGCCGAAGGGATATAGGTTTTCAATGTAGTTGTCCCGGCATCCGCGTTTCCTATTATATATCGATCAGCTGTTGGCGATGGTGGCGATGGTGGCGATGGTGGTGGTGGTGGTGGCGGCGGCGGCGGCGTACTCGTTTTCGTTGTCGTCGTTGCCGTCGTTGCCGTCGTTGCCGTCGTCGTCGTCGTCGTCGTTGTCGTCGTTGCCGTCGTCGTTGTCGTCGTGGTCGTCGTGGTCGTCGTCGTCGTGGTCGTCGTGGTCGTCGTGGTCGTCTATAAGCGATTCGGCGAGAGGGTCGGGTAAGAGGAGATGAAGAGGGAGTCAACGACGGGGATCGGGTGGGGCGTTAGGGGGGTGGAGGTGTCGTCGTGGTCGTCTATAAGCGATTCGGCGAGAGGGTCGGGTAAGAGGAGATGAAGAGGGAGTCAACGACGGGGATCGGGTGGGGCGTTAGGGGGGTGGAGGAAAGAAGCGCGCGCACGCCACGAACCGAATCCCAGAGTCGAGGCTCAGTCCCGAACAGCCCGCGAGCCATGGCCGAGCCGGAGGAGCTGGAGTTTCGCGTTACATACCCGGGTGGCCCGAGAGACTCGGCTAACGACGAGTTCGTCTTCGTTTACGAGGAGGATAAGAGGCCGTTGGTCGTACTGCTGGGCTGGGCCGGCTGCCAAGACAAGTACCTCGCCAAATACAGCGCTATCTACGAGGAGAGGAGGTGCGCCAGCGTCCCCATACACGCGCTATTCCGTAATCGCTTCCCGTCCACGGATTTTGCAACTGAAAAACTCCCGGCATTCCATCCGTATGCTGGGACGTTATTAGCTCGCGGGTTAATAGACCTCGGGGAGGCGGATGGCCGATCGATTTTGACGATGGCCTTAACGGAGTTTGCCTTAAGCTTTGTCGAAGAGGACTCTTAGCGTCCCTTTGTCCATTTAGCGAGCACGCGTAATTCACATTTTGTAGTGATTATTTTACAGCGAGAGGAATCCAAAGGTCAAAAAGACTTCTCGCATATTAATATTAATAAATCGTCCTCTTTGGTCGTGATAATTAAGCATTTTCTTTTTTTTTTTTTTTAACGCGAATGCTTTACGGTCCGAGTGGCTAATTAAGCCGATATGCAAAAACGAACAACTACGTTATCGATTTAATGTGTAAATTAATATAAAAAGATGGCTTTTAAAGTCAAAGACCTTTCGAATAAGTGATAGAGTGACAGGGCAGGGGGCGGGGGGGGGGGAAGA